TTTTTTTTTTTTTTTTGATAAGGTAAGTATATTATATCCAAAGTGTAAAAATAAAGTACATGATCATTGGGGCATACCCCAGAAAAACAAGTCTAGGAATATATGTCCTCCTAGAACCAAAAATAGTAACCTAGATTAGAGCTTATAACCTAGTTACAACAATAGAAAATATTCGCAGAAAAACCCCATGAGCGTTGGAGCCATCTATTCTCACTAGATGGGACCAAGCCTCTACATAAATCCACTCGTGCATAAACAGAAAAAACAATATCTCGAATAAGAATAAATTTATGTTTAAGAATCACACCATGGGCTCTAGCATTACGCTCACGCCAAATAGCATAAATCGAAGCAGCAAACATCAAACGAATAACAATGGACCGCAATGACCTCCCACGAAACTACTCCATCCAAGAAAGAGTATCTGACCAACTCCGTTGAACCCAAGGCAGGTTAGATCCAAACACGCTCAGAAAATGGGCAAGAAAAGAAAAGATGATCCAAGTCCTCCTCCGAACATCCACAAGGCACACAACGTATAGATTGTACCAAATCAAAGTGAAACGGCTTTATCTATGTATAAAGGCCATCCTAAATTGCTAGCCAAAGGATAAATGCATGACGGGGATTATACTTAGGAAACCATACAATGTGATACCAAGTCACCTTAGGGAAACGAAGTCGAATAGACTCCGAAGCACTCCGAACAGAGAAGACTCCATGCACATCATCCATATATCTCAAGACATCCTCTCTAGTACTATCCGGCCGAAAAGTATCAAGTGCATCTTGCATTAGATCAGACAACACTGGGGAACGAGATGATGACCACCTCCAACTATCACCCTCAACAATATTAGCCACCTTAGCTAATCTACTCAATCTAGATTCATGAATGATCCTTTCACCAGCAATCTTCTGTAAAGGGCCAAGAGGATGTAATTATCAAACCAAAGAGAAGCACGTCTATCGTTACCAATTATAAATTTCATTTTGTCCCTCCCTATCTCCCGAAGTACAAGAATCTTCTTCCAGCTCCAAGAGCAATCCCCAGGACACTTCAATTCCTCAATGCTTCGACCTTTAAGTAAGTAACTTCGTGCCCACGAAACCCAAAGAGAAGAGGCAGAATCCTTGCAAATGGTCCACGCTACTTTAGTCTCTCCGGTGCCAAGGTCACAACCCTTCCACAAGAAGGCACGTAGAGTAGCTTCCACTTGCTTGATCATAGCCTTAGGTAAAATAAATATGGAAGACCAATATACCTGAATAGAAAATAACAGACTTAATAAGTTGTAACCTTCCCGCATAAGAGAGTGCTCGACAAGTCCAACTCTTAGCCCTAGCTATAATACGATCAACCAACATCTTAAGTCCAAAGCTCGTAATTTGGTAGAGATAAGTGGAACACCAAGATAGCGTACTAGTAGAACTCCCTCTTTATACCCCAAAACATCAAGCAACTGATCCTTAAGATATGAAGAAAATCCACTAGCAAATAAATTACTCTTATCGGATTAGGAATAAGACCGAAAAGAGCTTTGAATAGATTAAGGCATTCAACAATGACAGAAATAGAACCTACCTCAGCTCTACAAAAGATCATAAGGTCGTCAACAAAATACAGGTGGGTGATCTTCTCTTTCTCACACCTCCAGTGGTATTTAAAATCCTGCTCTGCAACTATCAACCCAATTATCCCTGAAAATACCTCCATTGCCAATATAAACAAATATAGCGATAACAGATCTCCCTGTCTCAAGCCTCTCCCACCAGCGAAGAAACCATGTAACTCGCCATTAATAGAAATCGAAAACTTAGTGGTAGTGACATACTCAGTAATCTACAAAACAACCCTCTCTGGAAAACCAAGCACCCTAAAAACTGCAAAGAGAAAATCCCAACGAACAGAATCATAGGTTTCATGAGATCAACTTTAAGAGCACACCTAGGCAGTCCTCCACAACGGTGATAATTCTGTAATAGCTCTTGGGAAAGAAGGATATTATTGCTAATATGCCTCCATTTAACAAAAGCAATTTGTTGAGGTCCAACAATGTCTGGAAGCACCAGCTTGACTCTATTGGCAATAAGCTTAGCAACACATTTATAAATAGTATTGCAACAGGAGATAGGCCTAAAGTCATTTACCTTAGAAGGATTTAGAACTTTAGGAACCAATGCGATGGTAGTAGTATATACGTACTTCAATAGTTGCCTCGAGTCAAAGAAAGACTTGATGGCACATAGAACATCATTTCCTACAACATTCTAAGTTCTCTTGAAGAAACCTGCATTAAAACCATCGGCCCGGAGCCTTGTTGTCTTTCAAAGAGAACAAAACCTCCTTAATCTCCTCAAATGTCACATCTCTATCAAGGGTTTCATTCTGCCCCGCTGAGATACTCTTAGGAAGATCTCTTCGAAGCAAGTCCATACCCAGACTCTCACCACTAGGCAGCTGTCTAAGGAGATTTTGATAGAATTCAACATTTACTTTTCATAGCCTTAAAGAAGAAAGCAGTATTCTAATCCCCTAAATTCGGCCACTTAACACGAGATTTTTGTCCCAAAAAGATTTCCTCAGCCTTACTTAACTCATACAAATTGTTTGGTAACCGAGCCTCATCTCTATGTAAAGATGAATCTAAAGGTGAGTGTTGAATCAAACATTGAACATGCTCTAAATCAGTCCAAGCACGAGCAACTCTCGTAGGTAGATTTGAAAAATGCTCCTTGTTAAACTCTTTCAAGGCAAGCTTCAACTTCTTCAACTTCGAACACAAACAAAACATAGGATTTCCTACAACCGCTCCCAAATTTTAGCCAGCAAATGAAAGAAATCCGGGTGATCCATCCAATAATCAAAGAAACGGAATGGAATTTTCCTAGGTGGTAGCCCTGCAAGTTTCACTACCATAGGAGAATGATCCGACACTCCAGCAGTAAGAAAAGTAGCTTTGGATCCCTGAAACTAATCCCCACACTTTGAATTCACCGATACACGATCGAGTTTCTTGAGAATAGGATCGGATACATGCTTGTTCGACCATGTATATAAATAGCCATCAAACTCCAAATCATCCAAACCCACTGTTGCCAAGCAATTCCCAAGATCGTCTTGCCATGCAAACCAAGAAGAAGAACCATCTTCCACTTTTGAAGGAGATAGAGCCGAATTGAAGTTTCCCATGACCGCCCATGGCAAGTATGCAAACCCTACATGTCTAGCTACTAAATCAGTCCACAGATCAACATGCTTAACTGGAAAATTATCTCCATATACCACGGACACCACACAACTCCATTTCCCATTTCTTGCATTAACACGAACATGTATAGCTTGAGCTGAACAACCTACCAGCAAAACATCTACATCATTTGGATTCCAACATACCCAGATTCTGCCAAGCGGAGAACAATTAGAATTAGTAAAGATACTCCAAGACTTGAAGATGGCATTCGCCACCTTATTTTGATTCTTCTCCTTAACTTTAGTTTCCACCAACCCACATAGAGAAAGCCTACTGGAAGAAATGAGGCGCCTAACTTCAGCTTGTTTAAGGGTGTCATTTAACCCTCTGACATTCCAGCATCCAACTTCATTTAGAATGGTAAGTGGAATTGGAGACTCTTCAACTTCTTCTCCTACTTCAGTAGTCCCATAAGGCACCATGTGTAGTTCTAACATAGGAGATACATCAGAATTTGAGACTACTAGCTGCTTATCAGGGTTATTAGCTGAAGATGATTTTATTAATCTCTCCATGAGCCATCTTGAAAACCACTAGTTGTTTATCAATATCACTATGTGATGGTTGTGGATCAACCTCTCCCTGGACCTCCTTAAAATTATTATCTACAATATGAAAGCCACCTCCTTAATTAGGAACAACACCACCAAAATCAACCCTACATGTATTCTTCCTCCTTTGAGAATATGGGTCCACTCATCATCGATAGGTGGTTTCTCATTAGCTACACCACTTTAGCCAACCTCTTCCTTAGAAACCCAAACCTTGGCAAGTTTTTTACTCTCACTAAGCTTAGGTTGAGAAGAGCATAAGTGGCCAAATATCCCGCATTTCGAACATTTAATGGGTACCCATTCAAACTTAGCTTGAATAGATATCCACTCATACATGAGGACAAGACGATGAGGGAAATGGATTCCTGCAAAAGTCCTTGGCATCCATCCTTCCACGGATAAGGTCCCGACAATCAACTACATTTTTCTCCCAAGA